GGTCTTCTAGTGTCAGCCGTGGATCCAGGAGGACACCCAGATTGCGTACCCTCTCCGAGGGAGCCAAAGTTTCGCCCCCTATAGTCAGCGACGGAGTCAGCTGACTATGCCGGGAGGCCGGCAACCACAGCCACTCAGTCTTGGAAGGGTTGAGCCTGAGTCTGTTTCTCCCCATCCAGACCCGTACGGCCTCCAGGCAACGGGCCATCACGTCAAGGGCATCGTTGGGGTGGCCTGGGGTGGAAATGTACAGCTGAGTATCATCAGCGTACTGATGGAAATCCACCCCAAAGCCATGGATGATCTCACCCAGCGGCTTCACATAAATATTGAACAGTAGGGGGGAGAGGACCGACCCTTGTGGCACCCCACAAGTTAGGGGCCTTGGGGTCGACCTCTGTCCCCCCGCCAATACAGACTGCGTACGGTCGGTGAGGAAGAAGGAGAACCACCGCATAACGGTGCCTCCCACTCCCAATTCCACCAGGCACCGCAGCATGATACCGTGGTCCACAGTATCAAAAGCAGCTGAGAGGTCCAAAAGAACTAGGACAGAGGAATAACCCCTGTCCCGGGCCCTCCAGAGATCATTCACCAGTGTGACCAATGCCGTTTCCGTGCTGTATCCCGGCCTGAAGCCCGACTTGGGTTGTAGTTTGGGCACTCAGTCTCTAAAAGGTTTGCCATCCCTTAGGGATATGAAAAATATTTTGACCTAGAAATGGCCATTTTCCTGTGGCTTGTGATAGGAATTTTTTTTTCAAACTGGTGGGAGTGAAATGTTGAAAGGAAAGAAGAAATTATAAGCACAGGACTAAACGAAGAAGACTGATAGCAGATGCTTAAATACCAAATCTGCCTGACAAGTCTTTTTTTTTAATCTTCACTATGGGGAACATAGAGTTTGCATGGCTGGATGAGTGGGTTACTTGTGTCTTTTGCTATACTTTGCAGACTGGCAATGGACACAGATTGCTAATGTTGTCAAACTTATAATCTTGTAAAGATTTCTGTTAGAATGTTGGCTTACTTAGGTTATTAAGATTTGGTTGCAAATGCACTTTGCACACTATTATGTCTAGTCAATGTTTATCTTTCAGCAGCATTTAAAAATAAAAAATTATGCATGATTTCTAAACCTTTGCTGTCTACCTGATTTTGTAAAGCCAGTGGACTGTCAAAATAATAGCCCAGAAGATTTTTTTTTAAGTCAAATTATTAAGAAAACATAATAGGAATCAAAGTATGATTTGTCTCTTTGGTTTGAAATTACAGCCAGTTCTTTGTCTTCAGATGCCTGTGCTCTAAATTGGGAACACGGACATTGGTTCCTAATCATAATGACACCAAAATCCTCAAATGTCATTATAAGCACCACTCATTTTCACACCACCCATTTTCACTAGCCTTGTAAAATTACACGCCAGTGCATAAGGGGCAAAGTTTTCATTGCAAGATTCCAATACGTATTTTGTGATTTGTGTTGCCTCTCCCTCTAGCACCTTTGATTGGAAGATAAACTAATTAAAAGAAATGCAGTATTAAAGAGATATGTTGATTTCTTTGTCCCATAATCTGTTGGCTAATTGGATCATATTTTGTTGTCTTGAAAATAGACCAGTTCATGGAAGTGATTTTAATGTCCCTTCTCTCCAGATGTGAAAAAATGTGAAGTTATAATATGGCGATATAAAATTTATTTCAATTTAAATTGTTTTATACTATAACATTTTCTAAAAATTCATGTTTTAAAATGTTGAAAACAATATTTTGCTTATATGTAAAACATATAACAATGTAACAATATAATCTTATATATAGCAATAAAACAAAGGGAAACAATTTTGCCTTTATTAACTATAAAAACTTTACCAAAACTGCTTTTATATTTCTGGTGTCATTATAGAAACAAACAGCTCATTCTTTTATCAACATCAGCAAACCTGTTGAAAAGGCTAATGTGCAAATTTAAAAGCTTACCCTATATGCCCCACAATAAAACACATTACACACTTAAACAAATAGAACAGATGCCTTTAACCTTTTAAATAAGAGCTGTTTATAAACTGAAAAAGAATCTAATGAAAACATGTCAACATGGCTAAAAATATTTATATTCACTTTTTTCCATTATTTTTTCTTGTTTTATGTAGAATATTACAACGCAATTAAGGATACATTCAGAAAAGTGAAAATGACTTTCTGTTTTCTGAGGCAGATTGAAAACCTTTTAGAGTGGATTGCTCAGAAGATCCAAAAGCAAAGGGAAAATTAAAATCTTCTTTCCCATCTTGAAAAACCTGAGCAGAAGGAAGTGTTGGAAATGCAAATGTAAATGAGTCTTCATTATCCATTTTTCCAAAGAAATCTCCTTGAACAGAATAATATTCTGAATTAGCATTTGATACAGTATATACAGTATCAATAACATATGAATATTGATTATAAGCCATTATTAAAATAAAAAATAAAAGAGGACACCATTGTTAATCATAACATTGGATTTGAAATTCTCCAGAATATATAAATTGAGAAGATGGCATTAGCTCCTGGATGGAGTTCTTTTTAAAATATTTTTGTTAAAAGAGTAAAGTCATAGTCTGGCTCTCAATATAAATGCCTTTCAGTAATTTATGAATAGACAACAGCTAGTCACAACATATTTCTACTATGAAAACTTACCAATATCTTTGTGTGGAGAAATTGGATTTATATTTCCAGTAGAGCAGCTTTCACCTGACTAAAAGACCAAGTGAATTCATTAGAAAATGGCACAGTAGGTATATGTATGGGCAAATAGGATAAGAAATGAGATAAGAGCATACCCAGTGGCACACTCAATAATACTAAGGAAGAACTCATTAGCTTTATTCATGGGGGGGGGGGGGGTCACAGCATCAATCACAGAACCTCTGCAACAGGCCTTGTTGTTTTTAAATGTGTTTAATACCTCTCTAACAAATTAAATATGATCAACACAGCTTGTGGAAGCAAATCCATAGTTAATTATGTGGGGTTATTTTTCTGACCTGAATTATTCAGCTTAATTAGTGGTCCCATACTCCAATTTCTTTCTAAGCATGTCCTATGCACCAGGAATAATTATTTGCATTTCCATCCTATCCTTTGTTTTCTCATATTTTTCCTAATTGATTGATTGATTGATTATTATTCCATCAAGTTACTATGTAACCACTTAGTGACCACTTATATAGACTTTCTCCATGACAGGTCATCTTTCAGATCATCCAACAGTGCACTCTGGAGAAGGCTATTCAGATGTTTTAGGGATTTCTTGACTTCTTTACCAGGACTCCAGATCACAAAAATGGCATTCAAATACCAGAGCCAGATGGATGGCTTTAAGGGTTCAATATCCCATGCCCTTTGAATTTCTTCATGTAGAAATTGGCTATGCCTAGGCTAAATTGGTTCCCCATGGCAATTCCCACATTTTGCTCATAAAATTCATTGTTGTATTGTATGTAACTGGACATGAAGCAATGATGGAAGAGGTTTGTGGTATCTTCAGAAAATACTCTCTTAATATATAGCAATGTCTTCTTGAATTATGCTGATAAATTGATTAGTTTGATGTGGTCTCCTTGATCTTTGGTGAAGAATGAGACCACATCAAAACCAATCAATCTATCACCAGAACTGAGTGTACTGAGTTTCTCAACTGAGTTGAATCTTTGTAACTGCACATTGAACAGAACACAATAACAGGATATAAAGAAAGGCAAATGAAGAACATGAGCATAACATAAACAGTAATGCTAACTTGCATATATAATCAAGTATAAATAGGATAATGTACCATCTGTCTATGGAGATTCT